GATCTTAAAAATGTGTTTTGAAAGAAGCCAGTAAAGTAGCTAATGCTGTGGGCTTCATGTGGCTTGGAGCTAATATGTGTTTTGGAAGTACACAACTTCATACACTTTCATGATTAATAACACTGTCTGAATGAGCTGATTTACACTTCTTCTCCTTCTTATATTAGTATTATGATTGTCAGGTAATGGTAATTATTTTTTCATAATGCTTACCTTGGCCTCATAAGGGTAGGATGCTTCAGTGTCAATTCCTCCAGTTGCTTGGACGTACTTGAAGGCCCAGTCCATCCAGCCTCCACCGCAGCCATGGTTGCCAAAGCTCTGAGAGCAGTCGACCAACTGCTGTTTACTCAGAGACACCAGCTTTCCTGTCTTCCTGAAGTTCTGACCCTCCAGTGCACCAATCTGCAATAAGGATGAGTCTATTTGAAGCCAGACAATAGTTGAACAAACTTCCGATTTTACAGGATTAAAGAACACTGGGGCTTATGTACTCACTGCACTGAAGGCCCAGCAGGAGCCACACTGCATCTGATTCTGGACATCGGTGACATATCCCTTATCCCTCCAGTCAACAGTGTCAGGTAGATCAGTACCTTCAGGTAGCCGAAGGAAGGTAGAGCCGCGGTGATGCAGAGAAGTATTGAAGGAGCCAAGGCAGCCCCGGGAAACCAGTCGTTTGTACTCTTCATTTTCCTGGTCAAGAGGGACCAAATTTATCAGTTTTTAGTTCAAAAGTTTGTTTTTTGTTTTTGTTTTTTTATCCTTACAATTACAACTAAAAATAATGATGACACATCTTTTTCTGCATATACCATGTCAGCAAAGTGGGTCATCCCAAGTCGGTAGGACTTCAAACCCTGGTCTGCCAAAATGTTGTGCACTAAAACATGTTTGCGGTTGTTGAGCCAGATTTGTTTCCGGTGAACCTCCTCTGACTCAGAGTCATATGACTTTTCTGCATATTGAAATATAAGGGAATTATGAGAAACAGAATAAAGGAAAATCTATTAATGAATTTTAGGGAAAAGGCATATTTCCCTTTATTTCCAAAGTCTTTCAAGTTTGAGGCTTGTACAGTATCTTAATGTCAACAGAACACAATTAAAAAACAAAAGGTTTACATCAAAAAGGAGATGAAGAGTCTGCTGTCTTACCAAACTTGAGTTTCCAGGCATGAAACTCCAGATCTTCCAGAGAGATGCTGGCACAGCTGGATACAGCCAAAACAGCAGCAACAACAAGCAGCAACTTCATCTTGACTGAACACAAGCAGAAGAAGACAGAAATCCTTTGTGACTTACAGGAAACCACACAGGCAGTTTCGATTTTGTTTTTTTAATGACAGTTTTAAAACGCACTGTGTCATAATGTTGGATGTCACTTTCGTAGCGTCACACTATTCACTTTGATTTTTTCTTCGACTATTTGTTTCACATCTCTCGCCAATTCTTTCCAAAATTAATGACTCTCTGCTTTTTTTCATCAACACATTGCTGAAAAGTGTATTCATAATTGTCTACATGTCTAGTTAACTCTACTGTAGCTACTTACCTGTACCGTCTGACTCCGTCTGACTGATAACCACCTGTGGCTGATATACGACTGTGTCAGAGGGAGCTTGTTTATATAGCCGACTATAATATGACTGCAGTACTCCAGTCAGGTCAGGACAACACAGAAAGAAAAAGTGTCAAGCACTTAAGTACAAAAGGGTGGAGCTAAACATTGAGAGTGAAAATAATTTTCCAAAGAGGAAGTCACAGAGTGTTTGGCTTTCCCCCACAGTGTTAACTGGAAGTTACACAGTCATGTGGATGAACCTTAATGACAGAATTCTTTGGTCTTTTTTCTCTCAAGTAGCTTTTGAAAATTTCTGAGGTGT